GTAATCAATTAATAGTTGGTATAATGATGAGCGCATACAATCTAAACTGCTGTCCATTGAACCCAAAAGAGGAGAAATTTTGTCATTCAAAAGAGTTTATGAAGTGGCCCATAGCTGCAGAATGCGCAAAGAAAGATGTATATGATATGTATAAGCTATACTGGCAGCAGGAAACAAGTCAAGTCAACAACTAAAGGTGGTAGTACTCACCAAGTTGAAAAAATTGACAATGAGGTTTTGGAGGGAAATGATGTTGATGAAGATGACTATTATAGTTTTAATGAGATCAATTATTGTGAAGGAAATCTCAATAGAGCTAATCTGGGTAGAGTTGATCCTTTTATGTGTAAAATGAATATTGAAGGTCAATCAGTTGATTTAGAAATTGATACAGATGCAAGCTTTACTTTGTTAAATGCACAGGAATTAAAAAAAATATGTAGATTTAACCCAGAATTAAGGCAGAGGTTGCAGAAAGTTGATGTAATTTTGAAGACTTACACTGGTGAAACACTGGATGTCGATGGTGTCGTTAAGGTGGAGGTTGTTTATAATGGTCAACACTTCACATTACCGGTGATTGTTGTATCAGGTACAGGGCAGAATTTGCTAGGTAGAAATTGGCTTGAAATTATTCAGTTAGACTGGAAAAAATTGGTACACCAAGTCAAGGTAGAGTCTAGTGATCATGATAGTTACTTGCATAGGGTAAAACAGAAGTATAATGATGTTTTTACACCAGGTTTGGGTAGTTATAATGGAGATAGTGCCAAGATTTATGTAAAGAGTGATGTGAAACCAAAATTTTTTAAGGCACGTCCCTTAGCTTTTGCGCTGAGAGAAGCCACTGATTCAGAGTTAGACAGGCTTGTAGAGAATGGTACTCTCACACCAGTACAGAATTCTGAGTGGGCAACACCTATTGTGGTAGTGTCAAAACCATCTGGGGGTGTTCGCATTTGTGGGGATTATAAAGTTACTATTAATCCTGTAGCTGAATCTGACACATTCCCATTACCCAAGATTAATAGCTTACTTGCAAATTTGGCTGGTGGTAAAACATTTACAAAATTGGATTTGAGTAATGCCTATCAGCAAATGCTGCTGGAAGATGACTCCAAGAAATATTGTGTCGTCAACACTCATCGTGGTTTGTTCATGTATAATAGAGTTCCTTATGGAGTGAAAATGGCTCCCAGAATTTTTCAACGACATATGTATAATTTGTTAAGAGATATATCACATGTTACTGTATATATAGATGATATACTCATTACAGGTGTCTCTGATCAAGAGCACAAAGAAAACTTTGAGAAAGTTTTGAAAAGATTGCATGATAAGGGTCTTAAGATTAAGTTTGATATTTTTTTAAATCAAGTGTAACCTATTTGGGTCATGAGATAGACTCAACGGGTATCCATCCTTCTAAAGATAAGGTTAGGGCTTTTGTGGATGCACCAAGACCAACTGACGTCCACACATTGAAGTCTTTCTTAGGTGGAATCAATTTTTATGGGGAATTCCTCAAGAATTTGTCCTCAGTGTTGGCGGCCTTATATAAATTACTACGTAAGGGTGTGTCATGGCATTGGTCGCAGCCACAACAGCAATCATTTAAAAACGCTAAGAAATTACTGATTTCAAGTGGTGACATGTACACTATGACCCATATAAACATATTGTATTGTCATGTGATGCTTCGCCTTATGGCATTGGTGCGGTTTTAGCACATAGAAATGATGAGGGTTCTGAGCATCCTATTGCTTTTGCCTCTAGAACCTTGAATGATGCTGAGAAAAACTATGCTCAGATTGATAGAGAGAGTTTATCTATCATGTTTGGAGTTAAACATTTTCATAATTATGTTTTTGGATTACATTTTACATTGGTCACTGACCATAAGCCTTTAGTTTCATTGTTTCATGAACACAAAGCTTTGCCTAGTATGGCCAGTGCTAGAGTGCAGCGTTGGGCAATTGCTCTTGCAGCGTACGATTATAATTTGGAATTTCGTAGTTGCCTAGATAATGGTAATGCTGATGCATTGAGTAGGTTACCATTGCCTAATAAACCAAAATCTGTACCAGTACCTACAGATACAATTTTATTGCTAGAGCACTTGTCAGGCCAACCCATTAGCGCTGATCATATTAGAAAATGGACAGCAGTGATCCACTTCATTCCAGAGTGCTGTCATTTGTTAAAAGGGGTTGGTCAAATGATTTTAAATCACAAGAGTTGAAACCATTTTATGTACGTAGACATGAGCTCAGTGTACAGGAAGGTTGCATATTGTGGGGTAATAGAGTGATTATTCCACCTGCTGGACAGCAGGGAATTTTATCTGAATTGCATGAGGCACATCCAGGCATCTCTGTAATGAAAGCTATAGCTAGATCATACGTTTAGTGGCCTCACATGGATCGTGATATTGAGAAAGCAGTTGAGAATTGTGAAATTTGTCAAATTCATAGAAGTAAACCTAGTAAAGCTTCATTGCATTCCTGGCTTTATCCAGAAAAACCTTGGGAAAGGGTGCACATCGACTATGCAGGACCATTTTTAGGCAAAATGTTTTTGATTGTAATTGATGCATACTCAAAATGGTTGGAAGTGAAAGTCATGAATATTTCTACGTCTACAGCAACTATTGCTGAATTGAAAGAGATATTTTGCACTCACGGCCTACCAGATATATTAGTTAGCGATAATGGTAGCCAATTCACAAGTGATGAATTCCAAAAATTCATGCTGTATAATGGTATTAAGCATGTGACCTGTGCACCATTTCATCCAAGTTCTAACGGTTTAGCCGAACGAGCAGTTCAGACTTTCAAAAATGGAGTGAAAAAAATGAAACAGGGAGACATTAAAACTAGAGTATTAAGATTTTTATTTAGATATCGTAGTTCTCCACATTGTGTAACTGGTGCTACACCAGCTAAGTTGTCTATGAATAGGGAACTGCGCACCCATTTGTCACTTGTTCACCCTGATTTTAGATCAAAGGTAATATCAAAACAGGCAACACAGAAATTGTATCATGACAAACATGTAAAATCACGAGTTTTTGATATTCATGATAATGTGCTAGTACTAAACTATAGTGGTAGAGGGAATAGATGGTTGCCAGGTGTTATTGTCGAAATTACTGGTCCTGTATTATACAAAATTCAATTGGGCGATGATAGAATTGTTAGAAGACATGTAGACCGGATTAGAATTAGGAAATTTGATAGTACTGTTAGTGAGACTAGGGTAAATGAGGAGTTACCAGAGATTCCAATTGTTAGTAAACAAGTTACTCCTTCATTAAGTATTCCAGTTTCTAACGAGGACTTAAATCCCAGTGTTGTTCTTGATACAAGTCCTAGTAACATTACTGATTGTAATCCTTGCCCAGATCACTCAATTATTCAGACTCCTCCAGATACCACTCCTAAAGATACAGTTAAACCAAAGATTTCTAGCCCAGGTGTTATTACTACTAGGTCTGGACGCATTGTCCACAAACCAGATAAGTTGAACTTGTAATTTTGAGTTTATTAGTGTTTTGACTTTCCTCATTGTAAGCCATTTTAGGGGGAAGGGATGTGATAACTTTGTATCTATATTTTAGTACGCTAGATGTTCTTTTGTTAGTGGTCACATGACCACCTTTGAGTTTGTAATGGCGGCAAAGCTTGCCAAGTTGTAGTCTGCAGTTCCACAGAATAAAACTGAGTTAACGTGTTAATTGCCGTTTTTCCTGTGTGGATCTTTGCGGTGGTGGATAGGCAAACACTCGGTTACTACAGTGAGTGAGTGAGTGTTGTGTGTCGACAGAAACGTACATGATGAAAGTGTTATGTTGTCTCTTGCCCGACTACTATATACCATTGCGTTTCCCGGCAAACATCAATAATGACGTAACGAGTTCTGTGGCGCAGTACTAGTAAAAGCTAGTAAACAAACAACAAAAAGAAAGGCCGATCGGTCTTGTGTACAGCATTCATTTCATACGTCGTTCGTTCTGACTGACACACGGTTAGAGTCACGATTATAGTAAATAA